TTGTCCCACTGCCCCAGAGACCTCCTGTTGTCTCTTCGATGTTTTGTTTTCTATTTTATTTTTCGTTTTTGTGTGTCTGCATGGTGTTTTTCGGGCAGTGGCTCCTGCCATCATCACCAGGTATTTCTCTGCCGCCCGCTTTCCTGAGCTGGGCCGTCGTGGAAGCCCTTCTTCCTGCCGTTCATGCGGGACAAGTCCCGCCCTCTTTTTTCCTGTCCCCATTGGTAGTCTGCGTGCACATGTTTTCCACAGTAAAACCGTGTTGTATAACTCTTTCCAGCAAAGTAACAATCCGCCATTACAAAGGTCGTCCTCCTTGATCCAGTTAACGAGTCAGAACTCTTCTCCCAATCAGCAGAGAACCCCGCAGGTCATCGGGGTCATGCAGAGTCAAAACAGCAGTGCGGGCAACCGGGGACCCCGGCCACTGGAGCAGGTCACCTGTTATAAGGTAAGTCCTGGGGCTGAGGGACGGGGTGGGGTCTTCCCTATATGTTTGGCAAAATGAGAAAAATGAAAACATTCATTTTTGCTGATTGTAAGCATAAAGTTATAGTCTAGTTACCATCCACTATGGTGGGCTAGCGACTGTCCTACTTCCCACCACACTGCACGGAGGCCAGGTAAAGGATGGTGAGAACGCCTGCTGAATGAATGGACGGGGCCTGCAGGCAGGTGAGGGAAGCACCCAAGAGGCTGGAAACAAAACAGAAACACTGATCCAAGGAAGGGAGAGGCCTTGGTGCCGCTGGCTGTCCTGGGGGCATCCTCAGATCCTGCAGGGCACACCAAGGGAACGGGACACTGGGTTATAGCACCCTGTCCCCGTCCCCTCCCCCAGTACGTAAAATGGGACACTTGGGAAGGCTGAGCTTAAAGAAACCTCCTTGAAAATGGTCCTGTTCACCCCTGGCTCTGTGGGGAGGGGGGGGAAGGGGAGGGAAATCTGTTTTTTTTTGTCACCCAGGCTACGTAGTGCAGTGGCATGATCTTGGCTCACTACAACCTCTGCCTCCCGGGTTCAAGTGATTCTCCTGCCTCAGCCTCCTGAGTAGCTGGGTTATAGGCACCCGCCATCATGCCCAGCTAATTTTTATATTTTTGTACAGACAAGGTTACACCATGTTGGCCAGGCTGGTCTTGAACTCCTGACCTCAGGTGATCTGCCTGCCTCAGCCTTCCAAAGTGCTGGGATTACAGGTGTGAGCCACCGCACTCAGCCAGGGAAGAGAAATCTCTTGATAGTTTTGACGTTACTCATGGGCCCTTACGTGAGTCTTGGCCTGTATTCACATCCTTGGTTAAGGCTGGAAATTTACAAATGAGAGTTTTCTAATCTAAAATCGCCCCAGGATTGGTGTGCCTTTGGTACATGGCAGGATCAACCCCCGTTACTCTGTGAGGAATATGTTCTCAACCCAAAGCATACAGAATTCCTACAGCTGGAGTTCTGAAGAATGAGTCCAGATTAAAATCACAAAATACGCTGGGTATGGTGGCACGTGCCCATAGTCCCGGCTACTGGGGAGGCTGAGGTGGGAGGATTGCTTGGACCCAGGAGGTCAAGCCTGCAGTGAGCTATGACTGCACCACTGCACTCCAGCCTGGGCAACAGAGTGACACTCTTGTCTCAACCAAAAAAAAAAAAGCATGGGGCCGGGCACAGTGGCTCAAGCCTGTAATCCCAGCACTTTGGGAGGCCGAGGCGGGTGGATCATGAGGTCAAGAGATCGAGACCTCCTGGTCAACACGGTGAAACCCCGTCTCTACTAAAAATACAAAAAATTAGCTGGGCATGGTGGTGCGTGCCTGTAATCCCAGCTACTCAGGAGGCTGAGGCAGGAGAATTGCCTGAACCCAGGAGACGGAGGTTGCGGTGAGCTGAGATCACGCCATTGCACTCCAGCCTGGGTAACATGAGTGAAACTCCATCTCTAAAAAAAAAAAAAAAAAAAAAAAAAAAGCATGGAAGGGGGACTGTGTGCAGAGCAGACTTGGCTGTCATCTTGCTGCCCTCCCAGCCTGTTCAGCAGGGCCGCCTCTGTGAAAGTGCCCTTAAGTCCTGGAGCCTTATAAAGGTAGGGCTGGGGCCTTAATGCCTCTGTCCACAGCCTTTCAGCCGGTTAATGTCAGCGACACCTCATATGGGTCCTGGATTCCCCAGGGTCAGCTGTGGGGCCCAGTAGATGTGCCAGATGCTGTGAGTAGGGTATGTGGTCCCCCCTGTGGCCATCATGTTAGCCCAAGGCCTAACAGCAGCTGCTTGGCCCCTTATCCACACACAGTCACACCTGCAGATCAGACAAAGTTGAAAACACAGGGACTGCAGAGCCAGGGAATAGAGGTGGCAAGAGTGCTGGCTGATTGGGCAGAGCCCCTCGGGGCAGCAGGGACTGAGGGGGCTGGTGTTAGCACAGAGTCAGTGCCTCCAGCTGCCTCCCGACCCTTCTGTTCAGTGCTCAAGGCTGCCGTTTAAGGAGTAACAAGAGTAAAGAGAAGCTACAGTAGGGCCTGGATAATCAGGACTGGGATGAGGCAGGGTCAGAGCTGGATTTGTCAGGTGGCTCTGCAGGCTCCCCTTACCGAAGTCTAAGCATCATTCCCTCTCTCTGATCCTGTGATCAAAACCTGTCCCCAAGGTAGCTTAGACAGGTGTGTCACAGCCACGAGGGAAGTGTCCTAGCCTCCCCTCCCTTGGGGAGCCAGTGCCAGGGACAGCCCACCCTCTGTCCCTGCCACTGGCTCCCCAAGGGAGGGGAGGCTAGGACACTTCTCACGTTGTTCCCTCCCGTCTCCTGCCAGGGAACCCCAGACCTTGGCTCAGAGGTAAGTGGCTGGCCCACGGTGCAGAGGGGCTTGGTCCCCAGATGAAGTGGTGCTCAGGTGCCATCAGCTTCTCTTTGTCCTGCCCCCGCCCCCACTTGTGAGTCCCTCCCTGGGCAGCCCCTGCAACCATGCGGGAGAGGTGTGGGCCTCAAAGAGCTCCCGGCGGGGTGCTAGCAGGCCCTCTTCTGGTGGCCTCATTCTCCCTTGCACTTGCCGAGTTGCTGGCTAGTTTCTGCACCACTGCACTTTCCATGCTGAGCTTCCTCACCCTCCAATTTGAAAGAAACTGTACCACTGAAAATTTCAGAGTCCTGTCCCAACGGGACTTTGTGGGTTATATGTTAGTTGAAAACTGCATTTGAACAGTGTTATTGTCTGTCTCTCCTCTTCCCCCCGCTTCCTGCTGTTCCCAGTGTGGCGAGAAAGGACACTACGCCAACAGATGCACCAAAGGGCACTTGGCCTTTCTCAGTGGACAGTGACAGCAGCTGGAGCCAGCTCTGAGCAGCCCGGGGGCCCTGCTGTTGGGAGTGTGCATTTAACTGTTTCACGCGCTTCTTGGCGCAACTGTGGCTTGAGCTGGCCCGCAGGCATGTGGGGTTCATCGTTCGGAGGGGCCACATCTGTTAGTTCCATATCATTTTGCCATACTGTTTTTTGAAAAAGGGACATGTGCCCCAGCTGGGTCCCTGCAGTCGACATCATGTTTGGCTAGACATCGATGCCTCCATTCTGGGACTCCCTAAACAACCTGCCTTCATCAGAGGGAGGAAGCTGCTGGGGAGGGGCTTGTGCCGGGTAGTTCTGTGTGGCGATGGTCTTTCCACACATTAAACACCAGTTCTTGGTGACCCCGGGGGCTGGCAGGTCATTCAAAGCTGTGGCCAGCCCATGCCTGCTTCCTCCCTGCCCTGCTGAATCCTAAAGCTGTGCCTATCAATGTGATTTGAACGAGGGAGCTCTTCAGGGCAAATTCAGGTGCCCCCATTGCCTCAGGCTAGCCCTGGTCCCAGGTGGCAGTGGTTGAGGGATGCAGGGCTCTCAAGTCTGAGGTTCTCTTTGGGCTGCTTTTTCTCTTTGGGTATGTGCCTGACAGTGTTTAAGGTGTCCCTTGAGCTGGAGCTGCAGGCCTTTAAATAGACAACCCCTTCAAATCATCTGTGCCTGCCTCCTGCCTGTCAAGTGTCTACATTGTCAGACACCTGTGGCATGTGGAGGAGACTGCCCTGTCCCTGAGCCTTGAAAATGTGAAACTGTCACCTGCAACCTGCTGGGCAAGTGGGCCTGTCCATGTTCAACTGCAAGAACAATTTTTTAAAAATTGATTAAAGTGGGGGAGGGTGCAGGTGTAAAAAAAAATTGATTAAATCTTGTTTTTTAAGCTATGTCTCATTACTTAAGAGTCTCATGCCAAGCCTCTCATGCCAGCTGCAGTCACAGCCTGGTTTTCTTGTCCCTTCCAACAAATGTCAGTCTCATAGAGGAAGTGCTGCTGCCTGAAGGCCTTTGTACAGACAGCTAGTCAGGTCTGGGAGACTGACCTGTGGAGCCAGCAGGCAGGTCCTCCACCTCAGCTCAGATGTCAGGTGGCACCTATTCCTGGGGCACAGCATCCCATCCCCAGTGAGGTTCTGATGAAGGGGAAGAAAGGAGGAGCCGCCATAGACCCTCACCCCTCCCTCACCCCCATCCCACTAAGCCTCCTGCTAGAGAAGCCTCAGCCGAGGGCCACACTCCTTGCAACCTGTGCATCGGGACTGCCTGAGGTTGTCCACGGTGCTGGGTCACCACCCTGTAGCCCTTGATGCCCCAGGGTGATGCAGAAACACAGGATGAGAAGACATTTGGGCCATCCAAAAATCCCCTGCCTAGAACCACAAGACAGGGTGGGGTCTGGCATTCTTAGGAACACAGGACTTTGTGTTATACCATAAAGGGCCGACTGTTATACCAGTCGCCTAAAGGCCAGAGTCAACCAATGCATCTACCCACAGGACAGACTTCAGCATTGTTGATGTGGGAAAAGTATGGATGACACCCTGCCCCCTAGGGCACTGGGACACGATCTGAGTGGTAGTCTGGGGAGTCCACAAAGGCCTTCATGGGTCAACGCCCTGTAAAGACAATCTCTCCTACCTTGTGCCACAGGAGCCCCTGGAGCATGAGACAATGGCTATGGCAGGCAGGCATGCAGCACACATACCAGTCATCTTTTATTTGGAGGTTAATTCCATTAGGATATGAAAGGATTCAGCAATAATCGAGACTATTCCTTAAGGAGAGGAGTGCTGAGCTCGTCTTCTTCAGTGGTACTTGCGTCGCCGCTCGTGCTCTGAAGTCAGGAAGGCAAGATGGTGAGCATCTTAAAAGGTTACAGTGAAGGCACAGGATGACAGGGACGAGAACAACAGGCTGAGATCACCCAAAGCATGCCTTAGAATTCCCTTCAGAGATGACCCAGGACCTGTCTGCCGGGGTGTCTGCAGAATCTGCAGACCCGGGGGCACAAAGACACTGCAGGAGCCAACCTGCCACCTGGCCAGCTGCTTTCTCTCCAGAGGGCACACCCTCTCAGACAAACAGCCCCACAGAACCCGTCCTTCAGAGGCAGCACAGCCTGGTGCAGTAGAAGAGGAGTGAGATAGGGATGGGGGGTGGGGTACAGTGTCATAAACAGCCTAGTCAGAGGCCACAACTGATACTTTCCACCAGTCTCCCACCAGACAAGCTCCTCTTGAGGCTCAAAGCCAGAACAGCCATGGTTTTCTGGGATGCTAGATTATACCACGCAACTCATTTCTCTTTCTGCATTGGCTAGTAGGAAGACCGAGCCAAACTTTCACAGAGCCTGCTGTATTTTAAAGAATGCTTCTAAGTATTTTCTTTACCGTGACTTCATCTTGTTTTTCCTGTGTTCTCTGTCACAATTTTCTCACTTCAAACACTATCCCATATACCGTACTCTGCTACATCCCTCCAATTCTTTTAGGTGGAAATATAAGTAAGGAATTTAGTAAAGGTCCCTCAGCCTCAGAAGAAGGTGAGCTGCTGTATCTCATGAAATGAGTCACCACCACCCTCTCATGGTAAACTTAAGGCAAGACGCCCCAGAGACACTCACTGAGCTCCTTGTAGGAAACAGCGTAGTTGAAGACCACGTAGCATGCCAGCACCATGGTAAGCCCCGCGATGCTCCCCTTCTTCACGTTGATATATTTGTTATAGTACCGGTAGTAACCTGCAAATGCAAGAGGCGCTCACTGCCCTGCTGGGCCTCACAACTGAGTGAAATGGAGTGCACAGTTGAGTCTAGCTAGCGTTCAGGGACCCTGTCATGCTCTGGCTGTTTAAGCCCCTCGCCCTGCATTTTTGCTGATAAAGGCGAAAAGCACCAATGCCAGTAGGGTCTCTGATCACCACTGCCTGAACTATAAGCACATACCAGCTCCTGAACAAGGCCCACCTGGATCCCTCCTCTCTCCTTTGGCCTTTATCTTGTAACCTCCTGAGTAGCTGGGACTACAGGCATATACCACCACACCCGGCTAATTTTTCTTTTGTGTTTTTTATAGAGATAGGGGTCTCTCCATATTGCCTAGGCTGTTCTCAAACTCAGCTCAAGCGATCCTCCCCCCTCAGCCTCCTGAAATGTTGGGATTACAGGCATGAGTCACTGCACCTGGCCAAGACGGGCCATTTCAAATATTTGTCCTGGAAGTTCTGGCAGGGAGGCGAGCATCATACTATAGACTAATGCTCACTATGATTCCAACTCATTTTTCCTCTTTAAGAAGTTTTAGAATTTCTTTTAGGACAGAGGCAGACGTACTGATTCCAGCAACAGAAAACATTTTCTTGGCTGCAGTATCTCAGAACCAGCCTTTGAAAGGCCCAGTCAACCATGGAGGTCCAAGGCCTAGCCACCCCTCCCCTCGTCTACATAACTTACTGCTCTCAGACAACAAGGCCTTCATCGTCCAGATTAATTCATGGCAAAAAGAGACCTTAAGACTCAGAGATTTGCTTTCGTTTACACACATCACAAGACTCTGACCTCTTCGAAATGCTCCGAAAATGCCACTAGGGCTGAAGTCCCGCATCAAGATCCAGCTTGGCAGCTCTCCTAGTTTGACCTCCAGAAGTTTCCTGTCCTTCAATGGTACTGAAAGGGAAGAGTGAGAAAAAATACCCATTGAATAATCTCCCAATAACATAAATGGCATCCTTTCATGTCACTATTTCAACTAGGCAATAAAGGTGTATAATGTAATTACAAGAGGCTGCACATAAATAATATTACAAATACGTCACATCAAGCCCACTATTTTAAGTCTGAGTCTATGTAATAGCAGAACTGCTGCAGGGACAGCTTTATTAAACAGCAGGACATCTGAGTAACGGCTTACTGGGAATAACTACAGAAAAGGGTCTCAAAGCAGTGAAGTGGAGGCCAGGAAAGATTACTGCAAAGCTATCATTTACTTGACATTATTAGATTATTTCATCTTCAAAACAAGCAGTTTATGCCTTTACTTTACAGGAGAGGTCAGGGAATAGACTCAGAAAGGTTAGGGAACGTGGCCAAGGTCACACATACAGCATGGGGGAAGGACTGGCCCCATGTCCCTGGAGCCAATGTGAGGGTGGCCTGTCCAACCCTGGGGACCTGTGTTTGGAGAACGTACAAGAGGGGATGTGGAATGACAGCGGTGTAACAGTGCCCTCAAGAGTCTCACTCAGACTGGATACACTTGTTTACTGGGGAAGGGCCTCAGAGAGCACCTGGGTTCACACAGCTGCCAGCCTCCCCAAAGGGGCCAGAATGAGCAAGTGCAATGAAAGAAACCCAAGGAATCTCCACCTCCAGCATCCTGGGACCACAGAGACCCAACAATTTCCAGAAATAAAAAAATCAGAGATAACATATTCCGGGAAGTCAAATGACTTAGGAAAAGCACTCCAAATGACTGAATGGACCCAGACCATATTCCAAAGGGAGTCTGTGAACAAGGAATCGGAAGGACTCCTGGCTGAGGCTGCACTGTCCTCACATCTGAGCCCAGGAGGAGACTATGAAGGGCCAGGGAGTGGTTGGGCCTGTAGGCATCCAGGAGATGCACCTAAGGGAGGAATGGTCTCCCCTGTTCTCCCTGCAAAGATTGATTGATTTATTTTATTTTATTTTTATTTTATTTGAGATAGAATCTCACTCTGTGGTCCAGGATGGAGTGCAGTGGTACGATCCGGGCTCACTGCAACCTCCGCCTCCTGGGTTCAAGCAATTCTGTGCCTCAGCCTCCCGAGTAGCTGGGACTACAAGCACGCACCACCATACCCGGCTAATTTTTGTATTTTTAGCAGAGACGGGGTTTCACCATCTTGGCCAGGCTAGTCTTGAACTCCTGACCTGGTGATCCACCCACCTCGGCCTCCCAAAGTGCTGCGATTACAGGTGTCAGCCACTGTGCCTGGCCTTTTTATTTTATTTTAAGAGACAGGGTCTCACCTATTACCCAGGCTGGAGTGCAGTGGTTATTCACAGCTGTGATCACAGCTTACTGCAGCCTCACTGAGCCTCCTGGACTCAAGTGATCCTCCTGCCTCAAACTCCTAAACAGTGGGGACTACAGGTGTGAGCCACCACATCCTGCTAAAGATCAGTTTTTTGTTGGTTTTTTTTTTTTTTTTTTTTTTTTGAGGAGTGCAGTGGCGTAATCTCGGCTCACTGCAACCAACCTCCACCTCCAGTATTCAAGCGATTCTCCTGCCTCAGCCTCCGGAGTAGCTGGGACTACAGGCGCACGCCAC